CTGTTTTCAGAGTTCAGGAGTTTCTGGTATTCAGGGAACACCTTGGGCCAAGGCTGCTGGAACCTCTTAGTCCATGAAGACCTTCGTAACTCCTGGTGTGACAGACTTCTAGCTACAAGAACATCCCTGGCATTTGTCTTTATTTATTTATTTATTAATCACATTTATATGGCCACCGGCTTTAGTGCATCTTCTGACTTTGGACTGGATTTACAACCAATAGATTAGCTTGGCTGATTTATTATAACAATAATTAGGATAATAAGCTGCCACCCATGACAAAATGATATACACCATTGTGTGTTATGTAAAAAAAAAAAAAAGACATTGCAGCCTCAGTTGCCAGGATGTTGGCTATTTTTCACTCTTGCTGTCATATTACTCATGGGTTTATACAAGAAGACGACCACCTGTTGTTTTCTGGAACTTTAAGACTTCATCTAGGAGTGTGCATGGACCAGAAAATGTGTGTGTTTTGTGCGCCAATCTAATGCATTACTGCTTAAAAGTTTCATCAGATCATTCCAAGTAGGTCATGGTCTAGAGAACTGGAACATTTTGGATATTCCAGGAGAGGTCTTATCATTGAGTAAGGCAAGGATGATACATCTTGCCCTTCTCTCCCATTCTTCTCTGTATAGCCTGTGTGTCAGCCTGCCTGCCAGTGTTCCTAGTACCTTGCCTTTCTTCTGTTGCCATAATTAAATTGAAGTATAGCAGGCCTGAATGATCCACCTGTCCCTTCCTCTGATCTTCTTTCTAGCATCTTCCTTATAGTCATTGTTGCCATGCTTAAATTTAAATATAGCCCACCCGCCCTGCGCCCTGATTTTCCCAGCATCTTCTTTCCCTGTAGCTGCTGCCATGCATAAATTCAAGTGCAGCATATCCAATCAGTCCACCTGCCACTCCCTCCAAATCTTACTTGTTCAAAAGGACTACATCCAACAAAAAGAGAAGTAGAGTGGCTTTGTATGTAAAGATGTCAAATGCCTGTGAAAAAAACTTATGCCCTTGAATATGGAGGTCTTTGACCCAACGTTATTCAAGATCTTTATAAAGACTTGGAGTATGAAATGCATCGAATGCTTGTTACATTTGTAGATGATGCCAAATCGAGGATTGATTTGAACATTGGGCCAGTTCTAGTGGGATGTTCAATTTTGATAAATGTGAAGTCCTGCATCTACTAGGACAGGTTTAATGTATAGGTCTAGGGTTGGTGAGACCTGGCTTAGAGGAACTGCATGTGAAAAGAATCTAGGAATAGTGGCGAATGACCTGCTGAACATGAGCAAGCAAGCAAATTCACTTGTGGCCTGCATTAACAAAAGCACTGTGTCTGTTTCATGGGAGATAATTGTTCTTTGGCACTCTGTATTGATTAGACCAAACATGGTATACTATATCTAGTTTTGGGCACTGGACTTTGAAATGAACATACAGATGCTGAAGTAGGTTCAGAGATGAGCACCCAGGCTGAGGAAAGGTTGAAGAACCCGGACATATTTAGTCTGCAAAAGAGGAAGTTTTGGGGACATGACAGCAGTCAACGAGGGCAGTAACAATGGGTATAAGTGAAAAGAAAAGAAATTCAGCCTAAACTTTAGGAGGAATTTCGGGGTGTAAAGCTGTTGAACAGTGGAACAGTCTGTCCATGACAGTGGTGGACTCCCCCTTGCTGGAAATTTTCAAATGGGGGTTAGATGGCTGTCATATATGGTTTAGTTGATTTGTACACTGAACATGAAGTCGACTAGATGACCTGTGATAACCCTTCCAACTCTAATATTCAATGATTCTTTGAATAATAGTAATTATTTGTGTAATCCATTTTAGATAATTCAGGCCAGAAATCTTCAAACTGGAGTGAAACTGGGCTTAGTTATACAAAATATGCCACAAGTATGTCTTATGTTTAACAAACCATTCTCAAACATTTTGGCGGGTTTTATTGCTGCTGTTCTGAAAAAGATTCTGCAATGTTGCGAATGTGATTTGTTCACCAGAGAAAGTACATTGCTAGAGAGGAAGCCTATACCAAAAACTTAAATTACTTTAACAGGCACTACTTCTCCTTAGAGAACTTTCAACTCTAGACCTATAAATGGGACTAGGAATTTCTAACTTCACCAAACTAGAAATCCACAACAGTTAAATTAATTTCAGGCAAATACAAATTCACAGAACAGAGCAGTAGCTTCATAACTTCCTTTTTTTTTTTTTCCCCTTGTGGAGAGCCTCTTATTTCCTCACTGAAAACTTCAGTAATGATGAACAAGTTTACTTCATTATCTGTGCAGTGCTCAACCACAGGAGATTGGATGTACTCTAAAATGTACTGTTTGTTCAGTCTGCTTCTGAGCAATGACAGTGCGTTTGCAAAGGTCTGAAAATGAATCTCCTGTTTTCAGATTCCAACAGCATGAAATATGTCCTCTTAACACTTAACTTTGCCAATCTTTTATTATTTTCTTTCAAATAATTGAAAAGACTTGATCTTGCACAAATGGCTGTCATGACAAATATGGCCAGATACAAAGAGCGGTTAACAAATAGTTCCTGCCACCCCATCCCTCAGGATGCTTCTTAATACTTTTGCTTTTTTTCCCCTTTCATTATTTTCATGGGGAGGTGGGTATAATGCCAAACAAACACTGGGCTGCAGCTGCCATTCGTTTTTATTTTCTAATAAAGCCCACATTTGGGTCCTGGAGGCATTCTTTAAAGTTCTGCTTCTAAAGCTCAACCCTTTGCTTTGCTGATTATAGGCAGTTCCCAGTTTAAGAACGAGTTCCGTTCCCAAGATCTGTCCTTAAGTCAAATTTGTACATAAGCTGGAACAATAATATTGTATAATACTGTATAATAGTATCGTGTAATGAACTCGAACCATTGCGTATTTAACTCAGATTTTGCTACAGTAGGCTCCGTTCTTAACTATGGGTCATTCTTAACCTGGGGACTACCTGTATTAGCTTCCCTTTTAGGAAACAGAATTACTTTTTAAAAAGTAAAATGTCAAGTAAAGGCACCAAGGGAAGAACATGAGTAGGTTGGCGCCACTTTAGTTTAGTTTTTAATACCTATCTGCAAATCCTTTTAAGCTGATGAGGTAGGAAGAATTCTTTGTCTGCAGGGATTACTTACTTTTGTAAAAAAGCAATCTCCAATATTTCCTTTCGCTGAGTTCTTGCTGTGTTAGAAACTGCTGCAGGAAGAGGATGCTGCATCGTATACTTCAGACAAACGTGACTCCCTCTCCCTTCGAAATATTAAAATAGCATCCGTGCGCAAGATGCAGGGTTTGGCCATCTAGTGCTTTCCAGCTATTTAGTGAGTTTCAATTGCCATGCTGAGTAAGCCTTACAAAAACTATAATCTGAAACAGATGGAAGGCACCCCATTGCCTATACCTCATACATAAACTTTGCACTTAGTGCTTTCCTTCTGTACGTAACTTGGCTGACCTGAGGCTTGAACCCGTGATCTTTTAGTGCAAACGCTGTTGGGGGAGGCTCTTGATGTAGATTCAGTACTTTTTATATTCAGGAAAAGTTTCAGCGATGTGAGCATTCTATTTTTATGCTTAAAAGCTGCTATAAAGAAGAGTAGGTTTAAAATAAATCAAAGTTTGAAATATGAGCACTGCCTCACAAAAGCCCATAGAAAACTATGTCTGGAAGGATTTTTTTCCCCTAGCATATTTTATTAAATAACAACAGGAAGACAGGAAAACAGCACACTGGTTCCAGAAAGCTCTGTATTTAATTTTAGAACAATCATCTAATGCCTCAAAAAATTGGGCAGCAGTGTTTACTCAAGTGTTTAAACGATAGTCTTTAAGGAGAAATGATCCCATTTATAGATCACGGAATATAACTTAATAGACAGTATAATTTAATAAAATCAATGTAGTGTAATATAATATAATTTAATAGGCAATCGTTTTGGAAAGGTATTTCTTCGGTAGTCGCTTTGGAAAGCTGTTGCTGTGGTCGATAGTGCCTGGTCTGATCATAAGCCTCTGCTCTGAAAAAGTCAACTTGTTTAATAGACTTCACATCTTAGAATATTCAGGATTGCCACAATGAAAGAAAAATAATAGTTGATCATCTATATTGGGTTAGCCAAAAAGTTATTAATGTTTGCCATCTTTGAAGTATTGTATCTTTAGTCACAAAAATTCCCACTGGATAAATGTGCTGTAAATTGATGTTTGCTCCTGCTTGCTTTCAACTCTTGACAGGAAGGCTTCTGCAAATCACATTGTTGTTTCTTGGACAGCTATTTGATAGATAATATTATGCTTTCTGCTATTGTACCTCTATGCTACTGTCTGTCCCAAGAAATTGCCATGGGATGTGACCCAAACAACTGGGGCAGCCAGTGCTTTAATCTCTGTGAAGAATTTTGGAGAAATCCTATGCAGGTGCTCTCTTTTTAACAAAAGACAATTTAAGAGTACAAAGATTTTGTTCAAGAGCTTATTTATCTATGCATCTGTTACACCCAAGATCATTTTAAAAAGCAATGTATTAGTGAGAAATATTTAGAGAAACCGCAAACTCTTTTTAAGGGACCACCCTATCCATTTTCTATACTTATAAGGATGTTTTTCCTATTCATGACTCATTTCACTCTAACATCTAGGGAACTGGAATAACGATTAAGCAAAGGAATGCGTGTGTTTCTGGGTTTTGTCCCCTTCCAAAAAGCTTTATGAATTCTTGATTCAGTGTTAAATAAATATATCGCCCGTATATTTTAGCCACCGTTAATAAAGTAAAAAAAAAAAAAACCATGCTAGTAGTTTCTTTCTTTTTTAATCCAAATCTCACACTCTCTCTAAAACTCTCTTCATTGCTTTATTAGGTATTTCCATACCCTCTGTTATCTTAATATAAAATGGTATAAAGCAGCAACTTACACCAGAAGGCTAAATGAAATTAATGGAACCAACTTTAATTTTCACTTTGTGTTTTATTTTCACTTTATAGGTTTGTATGAGCTGCTGGCTTCACTGCCAGCCCAGCTGCAGCCACATGTGGACAACCAAGAAGACCTGACCTTCCTCTGGGATATGTTTGGTGAAAAAAGCCTTCATTCTCTGGTAAAGGTAAACCACATTTAAATGCTCATTCTTTTTGAGAAACATGTATGGAAAAACGTTTTGAGCAACCTCTAGTATACCAAGAATCAGTTACTTTGTGGAAACAAAACAGCCTTGTTTCGCTTCTGTGCTTCTGTGAGGGATGGAAGTTGTTAAAGGTTTCCACCAAAAATATTGCAATGATTTCATTTAATAGTGATGTTTTGGCAGAATGCATTAATGTAACAAACATATGATGTTTGCCCTTGTTTAGAACGAGGTAGCATGAATTAGTAGCAGGAAATCTGAGACTGCTTCATGGTCAACATTCATGGCCTGGAGTTTAGCTTAAATAAACAAATGTTCACAGCAAAAATTAGATGGCATATATTTTTGAGGTAAAGTATGGCAACTGTTCAGTAGCCACATTAATTTAAAATAATTTCCTTTAAGAAAATCAACTGAAATTATAGTTGGTTCTTTAATTGGCTTGCATCCATTGAAGATTGTGTTTTGTATATAAATATACCAAACTTCTATGAATAAAATAAGCTTAGTGAAGTAATTAATGGATATGTGTAGTCAAAAATGGTAGCTATTCATGTATATTGTACTTCATAATTTGTAAAATACTTTACAGTTTTTGCATTCATAATTATCACAAAGCTTTTAGTTTAGAAATTGGAAATTAAGCTTGTAAGACACTTGTGTAAGGCAAGTCCTCTGCTTTGATTTTATACTAAATTTGGGGCCTCTAGGTTCTTGAAGAAATCTGTATGTTTATATAGAAGGAAACAAGGAGGGAAAAAGATTTCTTTGGGCTCTGTGGCAACACTTTATTTGCTGATTTGCTTTTATAGGTATTTATAAATTATTTGTTGTCTAGTCTAGGAACTCTAGTGAATTTACAGTCGTAAAAATACAATAACAAATAACATTATCTCACAAAAGCCTCATACTACTGTCAGCCTAACTGAAGTTTTTATCAAAGCCCTGTTTTGTGTGTTCACTGCCTTCCTGAGTATTAACTTGGGTA